ACTCGGCCTCAGAGAGATGACAGTCCTAAGAAGGAATTGACAAATAGTAGCTGAGCAGCTGGAAATTATTTAGCATATTTTTGATTTGTTCCAGATACCCAATGCCCCCTAAACACAGCTTCTGATAGCAAGGGGCTGAAGACTGTTTTGCCAGAAAAATAATGTCAAAGAACTGCTAATACCACATTCTGGTTCTAACTCCACAAATAGTTTCCCAGCTCCCCTTGGTTGTGGACAGGCCTTCTAGTGCTTTTAGGTAATTTCCAGTAACAATAATAACGATAATATACTGTTCATATATACTCATTTATTAACTCACAACCCATTATCAGTAGAATATGCTTTGAGTAGTTTAACCTAACAATAGAGATTTTTTTTTTCAGAGACCAATCTACATTATGTTTAAGATCACACATGGCTAATGTCAAGGTCCTGCAACCTTTGACTGGAAACATGTCCTGATGGCTGACCCTAACATATCCCAAGGAGAGAGAATAACTCGTAAGATTCTATCAAGGTCACGTCTTTTACTGATCTTGTGATATTGACTCATTATATTGAATCTCTTTATTTTTTTTCTGCTCTATATATCAGACAACTTGGCAGCACCATCAGGCATGGAAGGCAGGGGAAACAGCCTCAGATACAAAGGTAAGGAAGATTAAGGAAAATTGACATCCTTCAACTATTCTGCTTCTCCATCCTGAAGTCCCACATGGCAACCACTCCTCCCCTTCATCAGACTGTCTTACTCTACATAGACAGTATACTGCTGATCATGGTCACAAACAGTGACAGTGTTTACTACTCTGTATTTCCTTGATTTGATGTGGAAGCCTAAGCATGGGAGGGAAACTGGTGCCCTTCTGAGAATCATTGTTTATAACTGCTGTCTGTTCACCCCCATAGCTCGGTTGCCCTACCTTGCTAGCTATGCCAGCAGAGAGCTGAGATGAGGGCTGGGAACTGAAGGTAGGATTATGAAAGACAGCCAGGATGACTGATCTACACAGGCAACAACTGTAGGGTTTTGATTTCATCATAAGATCATAGATTTCAATATGGAAAGGTCTTTAGAGATCACAGATTCTAACCTCCTCATTCAATGACTGGCCTGAAGTCACCTAGGTAATAAGCAACCTAGCCTGGCTTTGAACCCAGGCGTGACTCTGAATCCTTCACTCTACTACACTAGGCTCTGCCTGTCTGTTCACTGTATTAACTGGCACTTTTCTCCTCTAAAAATTATGCTTGCTTGTATTCTAATGAGAAAAAGTCTAAATCAATGGGTAATTTTGACATTGTTGGAAAGATTTAAATTAAATTAGTTGGTGATTGAGATAAAATGGGGTTACTTCAATGCTTATGAGTTAACTACACAAGGCTAGGTAAAAGGAAACCTGAACTAATATAAAATGTACAATGTACAATGCATAATCATGTTATAAAACTTGGACTGACTACTGATTGGTTCCTGTTCATTGCCAAAAGGAACTGCTGGTGGCTGTGATGGGGAACTTTCAAAAAAGGGCAAGGGCAGGAGAGTTTACGACTCTATTGCTTTCAACTGGAGCTGGAAGTGTGTCTGCCATGATGCTTCCTTGAATGGGTTCTTAATATGGAGCATCATTGCTTGAAAAACTGCACTCTTGTCTATGTGTTGCTCACCTGACCCTCTGAATGGAATGCTTCCTCCCCCATTCTTTCCTCCACCCAACATCCATCCAGACACATGACTTGGTTTTGTATTAATTACTTCTGAACTTAAGGTCCTATTGCAGCCTGCTCCCTGGATCTGATATCTTGTGGATTTCTGGCATTGGTTTTTGGACTGCCTGATGGGTTGTGTGTTAGGTCCCTAGAATAGAGCATTGTGCTTGGACAATGTCAGCTCAACCCCTATGGGGTTGTTGACTCTTTCTCACCTGCTAATCTCTGGATAATATTTAACATAACCTGGCCTCCTTCCCACCTTTGTAGGGACTTTGGGCCTGAGGGACAGGGGAATTCATTCAATTACCATTTGTTAAGCTTCTACTATGTTCCAAAGCATTATGACCCTGGGGGACATACAAATATTAAATAGGACATGTTTCCTGACTTCAAGATACTTATAATCTAGTAAATTTGACTTGTTGAGACATGGTCACTTCATACTAGATTTTTGTGGGCTTTGCCTTAAAGTTAAGAAATAAAGTATACTTGTAGATTAGCAAAATTTGTTAAGTTTGCCTGTATGCATCACATAACTACTGCTGACCTTTTGGGTTAACCAGTTGCCAAAAGTGAGGAGGATGGCCGTGGGATAGTGAAGAAAGCACTGGAATTAAAGTCACAAAGACTTCCCTATCCTGCCTCTGTCAGTGACCAGCTGTCTGACCTTGGACACATTACTTAACCTCTCTGGGCCTCAACTTCCTCTCCATAAAATAGAACTAATACCTGTTGTAACTATCTCACAGGGTTATTGTGAGATGAAATGAAGTAGTATATGTAAAATGCTTTGCGAACTTTAAAGTGACATAAATTCTAATTATTATTATTCATCTGTGAGTGTCTAAGAGTTAGATTTAGCTAACAGATCTGAAGGGTCAAGGCTTCACCTCTAAGTTTTTGTGGGACTGAAATTAAATGTCCTCTTCCTGTCTTTAGAACAAAACTTCTCAGATATAGGTTTCATTAACCTAATACCACCACCACTCACTCTTTTTTCTTTTTTCTTTTCTTTCTTTCTTTCTTTCTTTCTTTCTTTCTTTCTTTCTTTCTTTCTTTCTTTCTTTCTTTCTTTCTTTCTTTCTTTCTTTCTATCCCTTCCTTCCTTCCTTCCTTCCTCCCTCCCTCCCTTCCTTCCTTCCTTCCTCCACCCTTTACATAACTCGCATCCTCCTTACTTGAAGTCTCTGAATTGAAGAGCAGGCTGGGATGCTCAGACACAGGATCCTATCATAATGCCACTTGATTGTAGCACCCAGACCTAATGGTTCATCTCTTCTTCCCTAATGGAATTAAGTCTACGAATCAGATCTCTAACAACTGAGGATATGAATTCATTCTCCAAGAGAGTCATCTCTTCCTTAGGTTTTCTTTAATTGATGAGTAATTGTGGGATTAACTTTCAATAAAAAACATATGATGATGTTGCACCCAGAAACACATAAGAAGTCATTATGAAGATAATCAGTGCTGAAAGAAAGCACATTTGGTGCCCCTCAGAAACATTCAGTTCTTAGGACAGGACGCTGTTAAGAACATGATATTCCATTTGAAACTGCAAGAAGAATGGAGATAAACAGCAGATAAGTGTTCCAGTTGGGACTTAAGGCAGAAGTTTGATACTAATGATGCATAAACGACTTGCATAAAATTATATTGAACAAAATCTCAAATGAAAATGAGCAAACTCATGACACTGCATTAGATAAATTTTCAAACTTTTGTGTACATCTTAAGCAAGGCTGGGTTTATATTTTTGCATTACAATTCTTTAATGGATCTGAGCTCTCACTGTTAATAATGAAGTCCTTCAGATGCTCCTGTTTTCAGATGACGTTGTTTCAAGTACACAATGCTATGAGATCCATATAAAGAGAGATGTCCAGCAGTCTACATAGGAAGAAAACAAATGGATTGAAAATGCCTATTGTCCAGAGGATGCAATGTAGTTGGATGGGTCACCCATTGAGTTAATACATATGTACATGTATATTAGATTTTTGTAATTGAAAATATAAGAGAAATCATAACGCAAAAGAAAAAACCTAGAGATGGAAGGGACCAGAGAGCTCATCTAATCCCAATCTCTCTTTTTTTATGGTGGAGGAAAATGATTTTCCAAAGGAAGAAGAAACTTATCCATGAACACCTAGTTAGTAGAAGAGCTAAGGTCCCAAAACCACAGACCATTAGAACTGGAAGGAATTCAAAAATCATTGAATCCCAAATTTTGTGGATAAGAGTTCTGAGAGACAAATGAGTAGCGAAATATATATGTATATATTATATATGTGTGTGTGTGTGTGTGTGTGTATCTATCTATCTATCTATCTATCTATATATTCTGTAGGATTTTTTTTCATCTTAAGACTCTATCTGAAATTATTATCTACCAGTCAGGGTCAGTCCATCATAAGGTGGGACAGGGGCAAGATTGAGGAAAGAGAAACAATCAGACATTTGCTAGGGCCCTACATGAAGGGATCTGAATGACTGGTATTTTTTTTAGGATAGGACAGTGGTGACCTGCTTTCTCTGGAAATTCTGCCTATTGTCCTAACATTGTGGAATTGTGCTTGGCCTTCTTTGAAGTTGTCACCTAACCCTTCTGTCACCTAACCTTTTGGTAGATTTTATGGGATTTTTTTCTTCTTCTGTTGCCAGAGAGCCAGGAGGAAGGCAGTGAAGCAGTTCAGTTGCTCATTAGCACATCTTTTAAGCAAAGTTTATATAAGCACTGCAATGTAAGTCTGGACCCTTTAGCATTATTTAGTTGTCTGGTCAGCCTACATCTTTTCTTTCCCCTTTCCCATTCCTCTTTCCATTAAGATTATTCATAGCAAGAATGGTACCTTCATTGGTTTGTATTGGTCTATGGTGTCATAGTGAATGATTCATTAGACTATGAGAAGGGATAGCGAAATACTGGGCAGCTAGGGTTTACCACAGTGCATAGAGCTCTGGGCCTGGAGTCAGGAAGACTCATCTTCATGAGTTCAAATCTGGCCTCAGACACTAACTATATGTGTGACGTTGGGCAAGTCACTTAACCCTATTTGCCTCAGTTTCCTCGTCTGTAAAATAAGCTACAGAATGAAAAGGCAAACCACTCTAGCATCTTTTTCCAAGAAAACTCCAAATGAGGTCATGAAGAGTCGAAAAGATTGAAGTGACCTAACAAAAGCACTTTATCTCATTTGATTCTCACAACAACTCTGTAAAGTAGGTCCTATTTTTATAACCATTTTACTGATGAGGAAACTGGGGCTAAAAAAAGTTAAGGGGCTTGCCTAAGGTCATACAGCTGTTAAGTGTCTGAGGCAGGATTTGAATTTAGATCTCCCTGACTTCTAGTCCAAAACTATCTGCTATGCCACCTACCTTTGTGAACTTAATAGCACTATATACATGACAAATCCAAATTTAAGACAAATTGGAGAGAAGCATGAGTAATAGCTTTTACTTTTCCAAGTTATTCCATCTCAGAGATCTGGGATTTGGCTGCACAGAATTGTAATGCCTTACACTTGTTCGCATAGCACATGAAATCAGTGAAGTCTAGATCACTGATTTAAATACGACTGGAAGTCTGGGGAGCTGGTAAATTTGCCTTGGAATTAGGCTAGGATAGCTATCTAAACCCAAACCAAGAGGCACCACCTGCTGTGTGGATAGGAATATAAGTCCATTGATAGAATGTTCAACAGCCTTTTGGATTGAATGGAACTCATTGGAATCTATCAACATCCAAATTGAATGATTCTGTTTTTTAGCTCTTATCTCCCTATTCACCCTTGTGCTCCCAAGTTTTGATGGATTTCTCCAGAAGCAGGTCTCCAGCAGGTTCAGCGGCTCTTTCATGGAGGGTTTACAGTCAGAGATGAGTTGCAAAAGATGAGAAGGCATGGGAGAGTTATGACCTGCAGGCAATAGAAAAGAGATTATTTTCTTCCTTCTTACCTTCATTGTTTTATAGTTACTCCTTACCTTGTATTCTGTGACCCACCTACACTGGCCTTCTATTGGTTGGATTCTCTGCTTCAAGGCTGATATTGTAATACAATCAATAGAAGTGGCGAAGATTTAAGATAGATCCTTACAATGTTTGTTTTCAGTATACCAATTGGATGGTCTTTGGGAAAAGACCTGGGGAACGATCCTTTGGAGAACTGCACAAGTATAGACATTAGAAGGAGAAAAAAAATTACCTCCTTGCAGGTTCATTAGCCACAAGCTGTTGGCTTGAAAAGCATCTATGTTCAAGTCATTCTCTTTCAATCATCCCACTTCTAGGGAAATAATGGTTCATTCAATTTTATTATTTTTTTTGGGGGGGTAGGTTTGTGTATGAGGGATAAACTTTTGCAAAGAGGCAAAGTTTACAAGAAGGAAGTATTTTCTTTCCAATCCCAAAGGGTAGAAACAGTGGCACTTGAGCTCACCTCTAATTACAGCCACTATGACAGTTCCTATGTTGTAGCAATAAAACTAACCATCAACCTTACATAATCATTAAAGTTAAGCAAACAGCCCCTCACTGTATCATAATGTACAGGTAGTTGCTAATAAACCAGGAACAGCATTGGGGCATTCAAGGAACATCTTTCCTATCAAGCACAGTTTCTTAAGCAACTTTAGAGACATATTTTTATTAAGTGTATGCAAGGCAGATGATCTTAAACCTCAAGAAGAATATGCATAATAATTGTGTGCTCCTCTAATGCTCTCCAAAGACCTATTGAGAGTCCATTCTGAAAGACGATAATATATCAAAAAGTTCGGCAAACTTCTTCCTAATGAACACATGCCAATTTGAGACCAAGAATTCTGGCCTCTGAGGACAAAATAACCACTACTCTTAGTCTCTGGGTGTTTTGCTACTTTATTTCAGAGTGATTCAAAATCTAATTAAATTTCTAAACTCTAATGAAATTACGGAAGAAAAAATCATTTAGGATTATATTATACACAATTACTCATGGTTCAAAATTACAGTTACCCTCTTTCACCAGGATTGCGTCTCCTGGGAAATCCTTGTTATTTATCCACCATATAAATAGGACACTACTCCCACTATTTACAGGTTGGAAGTAAGAACTAAATTAATTAAACATATATATCGTGAGCAGCAGCAGCTAGATGGTGGGGCATTGGGTAGAGAGAAAAGGAATGTGGATGGAGACCCCATTTCTAAGATAGCTCGAGAATGGGAAATGCCTGGGGAAATGCAGACAATGGCTTCTTGCCAATTGACCGTTTTAATTGAACAGAGTTCTGGTTTTCGAAGTGTGGGTTCTGAAGGAGGTGCGATAGAGTGGCAAAAGAGCTTCAGTGAGATAAGACTAGAGACAAGGACGAATGCTGGTTGGATTTTCCTTCTTGGTTCCATTTGCTTTGCTCCATTTGCTTTATAATTGAGCAACACTGGCTTTCATGCTTTTCTTCACACATGACCCTCTATCTTCTGATTCCATATCTTTTCGCTGGTTGTCCACCATGCCAGGAATGACTCCCTCCTCGTCTCCATCTTCTGGCTTTCCCTCCTTCAAGTCTCAGCTCAAATCTTACTTTGTACAAGAAGCCTTTTCTGAACTCCATTAGGACTAGTGTCTTCTCTTTGAGACTGCCTCCATTTTACCCCTTACATATCATGTATGTACATGCTTATTTGCATGTTGTCTCCTCTCATCAGTAACATAGTCCCTTTATATGTGCTATGTTTGCATAGCACATAGTAGTCAGTGAAGTCTGGACCACTGATTTAAATATGACCAGAAGTCTAGAGAGCTAGTAAATTTGCCTTGGAATTAGGCTAGAATAACTATCTAAACCCAAACCAAGAGGTACAAACTGCTGTGTGGATAATTGATAGAGTATTCAACAGACTTTTGGATTGAATGGAATTCATTGGAATCTATCAACATCCAAATTGAATGATTCTAGTTTTTTTTTTTAGCTCATCTCTCTACTCACCCGTGTACCCCCAAATTTTGATGGGTTTCTCCAGAAGCAGGTCTCCAGCAGGCTCAGTGACTCTTCATGGAAGGTTTACAGTCAGAGGTGAGTTGCTATGAAAAATTTTAATGGAAACAGGGGTGGGAAAGAGGAAAGAAAAGGTGTCAGCTGACCAGACAGCTAGATAATGCTAAGGGGCCCAGACTTAACATGATAGTACTCACGTAAACTTTCTTTAAAGATTGGCTAGTGCACAATCAAAGTGCTTCACCACCTTCCCATTATTCTTCTTGGTTCCCATGAAAGTCCACCAACAGGTTAGGAGTCAGAAGGGTTAGATGATGACTTCAAAGAAGGCCAAGCACAATCCCATGGTGTTAGGTCAATAAGCAGAATTTTCAGAGAAAGCAGTCCACCATTGTCCTATCCCTATTCTTGAGGTCCATGTCATTGACTTTCTTTGTATGCTACGACCTTAGTGTAGTGGCTGGCAACTTGTCATGAAATACATCCCTTGCTTAATGGTGCCATTATACTTCTTATACCTGAGGAATGGACAAGTCATCTGAGGTTTGGGTTGGGATCACTGATCTAAAGGAGACAAGTCTTTCAAGTTTGTCCCCTGGGCGGGGAATTTATCAAAATGATATCTTATTATTGTTGTCATTATTAACCTGAATTTCTGGGTTTTGAGTTTTCCACAGCACTGACAGAAGGGACCAGCCTGCTCTCTAGGTATTTGCCTTATAAGGAGACAAAAGTACTACTAACAAAGTTAAACCATCTTCTAAGCATCTCCCATTTGATTTCTGTTTCTCCCTTGGTCACAGCAGGCCATGACTCAATGGGCTGGGGAGAATGTTCTGTTAATGTACATTGTTGAATTGAGGATTTTTTAAAAGACTGAATCTAAAGATTACATCAGAGAATCACAGACTCTGACAGGCCCCATCAAGCTAGAAAAACTTTGAGTCAAGTCCCTTTGATGGACTGATCTATGACTATATCTGTTATTCAAGAACCATCCTTGATGCTGCATGACCTAGTACAGGGCATTTTAGACTTAGAGTCATGAAGACTTGGGCTTAAATTCTGGCTCAGATCTTTACCAACTGTGTGACTTTTGGCAGTTGCTTCATTTCTATGTGTTTCAGTTTCCTTATCAGTAAAATGGGATAATAATAGCACCTAGCTCATAAGTTTGTTTTGAAGATCAAATGATATGATGTCAGAGAAGAATCCTATAAACCTTAGCTATTATTAGATAATTTTAGAGAAGTCCATTACCAAATTAGAGGGTGTCCCAAAGTCTTAGTGCAGACTTGCACTAAGACTTTTGGGACGCCCTGTATTTTTCAAGAGATAATGATATTTTCTCAACCATAGCAACCCATGAAGGTTATGCTGTCATACAGGTTGTGGTCTGTATTGATGGGGGATTCATACTGATGAAATCACAGATTATTAAGGATTAAAGGATGTCTGGAGCTCAGGGAACATCTCTCCTTTGGAACAAATCTGGCATGAACCAATGAACCTTTCTCTCTTGAGATAGGGAAGTGGGTACCACCATCCTCCTGGTCATCCAGGCTCATAATCTCAGTGTCATCACTCTCATTCACACCACATATCCAGTCTGTGGTCAGATCTTGTCAAATCTTTCCTTTTCACCACTTGTACACCTGCTGTCTTAGTTTAGCTGAAATAGCTTTTTGGTTAGAATCTCTGCCTAAAGTCTCTATCCACTCTGATCTATCCTCCACTCAGCTACCACAGTGATTTTCCCAAAGTGTAGATCTCACTGTATTACCCTCACAAAAGCAAACACAATCAACTCCAGTGGCTACCCACTGTCTCCAGGTTCACATATGAAGTCATCTGTTTGGAATTTAAATTTTTTTCACAACATGGCCTCTTCCTGTTCTTGCTATCTTCTTGTACTCTGTGATCCAGCTACGCTGGCTACTTTCTACTCCTCAGCCATAACTCTCCCTCTTCCATTTCCATGCTTTTGTACTAGGTGTTCTATATGCCTGGCATTCTTTTTTTTAAAGGTAATTGGGGTTAAGTGACTTGCCCAGGGTCACATAGCTAGTAAGTGTGAAGTGTTTGATCTGAGGCCAGATTTGAACTCAGGTCTTCCTGACTTCAGGGCCGGTGCTCTATCTACTGTGCCACCTAGCTGCCCCTATGCCTGGCGTTCTCTTTAAGTTTCTTGGCTTCCTTCATGACTCAACTCAAATGTCAATGTCTTCAGGAGGCTTTTCCCAGTTCCCTTAGCTGTTGGTGCTTTTCCCTCTCAGATTAAACTCCATCTAGTCTGTATATATCTTGTATGTATCTAGATACTTTCTTGTTTGTCTCTCTCATTTGAATGAGAGTTCCTTGAGGGCAGGGGCTATTTTTTTCTTGTATCTAAAGCATTTATCACCATGCCTGGCACATACTAAGTTCTTAATAAATGCTTATTGATTGACTGACTGACTCAGGAACCTACAAGTGTGAGCAGGAAGGAATGATCAGTAGCCTTTGACCCTAGCATGTGTCTCTCAGCTCAGTTAGGTACCAATGAAAATCAAGCTAAATTTGGGTTTCAGTGGGGTTTTAAGGCACAAAATAGAACAATAACCAAGTCTAGGAGAAGAGCCCAAACTAATTGTTGAATAACAATAGTAAGCTAAAAAAAAACAAAAAATGGAAGAATGAAGGTGTAGCTCTTGTGGTCTGAGGCAACAGAGTCTGATGCCAGTTCAGGACAACAGAGACAAGAGGCAATTTTACTAGCAAAGGCAGAACCAGTGATTACAGTCTGCTTAGGATATTTGCTTTTGGCAGGCCAGCCAGGATTAGAGAGTTGGCTAGGTTTGAAAAAAACAAAAAAACTTCCAGGGGTTAGACATGGGGAAGAGTTATAAGGTGCCTGATAGCCAGGGCAGATACCTTCAGAGGCTACATGAGGAAGTCTTTCCTATGAAGGAAACTGAGAGAAATGATCTTTTTTTTCCCCTCATGTCCATGATCAAAAGTGAAATGGGCAATTATTATCTTGGACAAAAGACCTCACGCTTAGGAAAATGGCCTGACCAGAAGAGGGAGAGAGGTTAAAAGGACATACCTGTGGAAATTCTGGGAGCCTATACTAAGAAGAGAGGTTTGGGAAAACAGATTATGGAGGCTGAGACACTGGACATCTCTATAAACTGAATGTACTAGCTAGAGGTTTGGGCTTGAGCTAACACTATTTCAGTCATTTTATGTGAACAGAAAGGGAAGGTAACATGTATTTATTAAGCATCTACTACATGTCAGACCCTGTGCCAAATGGTATGCAAATTTTATCTTCTTGGTTATGGAGAGATGTGACTAATCATTAGTTTGTGTGAAAAAAAAATATCTAGGGTCCCAGTGGTTTACAAGGTCCTTATGGCTTGCCAGTATGACATGAAAATCAAATAGATGTTGAGATCTCAGGCTATTTATAGACCATTATAGTACACAGAGTGAAGGAAGTGATAATCTTTTTAGACTATGTCCTGATCTGATTACATTTGCAGTTCACACTAAAAAGCAGAGTTGCGCCTCTAGAGGCTGAATGACCTAGGTCCATATCCTGCCTCTGACACATACCAGTTTAACCTTTTTGAGCTTCTGTTTCCCCAACTGGAAGATGAGGAAAATAATACCCATAGCGCCTACTTCACAGAGTTGTTGTGAGGATATGCATAAACTATTTTGTAAATTGTAAGCCTTCTATTAATGCCAATAATGTCATTATTGTGTCCTCTTCTGGATGTGATATTTTATAAGGGATATTGACAAGGTAGAGTGAGAGTAATTGGATGAGGGCAAGCAAGATGGTGAAGAGACTTTGGAATGATGTCATATGGAAATTGGTTGAATGAAAAGAAAAGATTATTTAGAAGACTTAAAGAAGGACTAGACTCTAAGAATCCCTTGAAGGAACAAAACCTTTTTTTGTCATTTGGAACACCTGGTACTTTCAGAATTTAGGGAATCATGATAATATTTTTTGAATATGTGAAAAGTTGGCTATGGAAGAAGAATGAAACTTGTTTTGCATGACCCTATAGGTGGCAATTAAGACCAGAAGCAGAGTTTAACTCGAGGCTAGGAAAAAATACTGTAAACTTCCTAATAATTAGAGCTGTCCCAAAATAGAATAGGCTGTCTTGGGTAGAGGAAGCTTGTAATGAATTTACTCTTTCGTAGAGGTATTCAAGCAGAACTAGATGAATGCTTGTCCGGCACATTAGAGATGAGATTCATGATTTGGGGCAAGGATGACCCACTGGATTACCAATGAAGTCTCTTCTAATTCTAAGAGCATGTAATTCTGTAGCCAACCCAGCAAAGGGGTATCAGGAAGGAAAAAAGAGGAAGTTAAAGAGAGAGTGAAGCTGGCTTCCCTGGAGGTGGTACAGAGGACCAGAGTGCTGAAGGAGAACTCTGAAACTTGTAAATCCTCAGTCTTGGTGGAAGCCCAGGACTTCTAGCAGGTATTTTTAAATTGTTATGGTGTCCTCCTTGCCTATAGCAAGTGAAACCTAAAAAAAAAAAAGCAAGCAAACAAAGAGGGAAGGCTCACATATTATTTTCAGGGATCAAGGGAAATTCAAAGGTTTCATTGTCAAAATGTCTCGGAAAAACAAAAATTGGCTATGTTCCCTCTTCTGACCTAAGGTGAGTAGTGGTGAAACATACAGAAAAGAGAGGTGGTGACAGTCAAGTAATTATGACAATTTCAACAACAACAATTTAAAGAACAACAACAGGCAACAGTCTGTGATAATGAGGCAAGTCCCAGGGTTTTCTGGTGGAAGAAAAAATGGCATTCCACTGGGTCATGGGGTACCACGGATGCCACAGTGTCACGTCTTTCTTTTTCCTTTACCAAGTAGTAGGGTAGAATAAATAGGAATTCATTAACAAGTCTCACATAATCAAAAGAGGTTTAATGGTGGAGACACACTTTCAGGAAGGCATTGGAGGAAGGAAAAGTTGATTGTTTGAGGCATGGAGGGCATGGGAAGAAAAAAAGTGTGAAGGACATTGTTGAGTGAATAAAAGCAAATTAAGAAATGTAATTTTGGAT